GGCAGCAGTTCTGGCAATTATGAGGCTGCCGGCCTTACGTGAAGGACTGAACCGTGCTTCGAGCGCTCATAGTAATATGCTTTGCCAACTGAACTGTAAGCTGGACGCAGTTTCTGATAATCGTGGGCCACTTGCAGCTCCGAGGACTCGCCATCATGAAGGAATCAACCTTGGAGAAGACTAACAAGCATGAACTGGCAGAATGTCCACAAATCTGGCTGTTTAGATTTGCCATTGAGTGTAGCAGCAGAAACTATGAAAGCAGCATGAAATCAGTAAAGTTGGCCTGCACAAAACAATTATCTGATCTGGCCTCCCCACTTGGGCTTGGATAGGCCTACTTATCTCAAATTACTCCTGGTGGATATGTAAATCAAAAGCTCTGCTCCCCCCCACCCGAGAACATCTGTGTATCCTATGAGAGTTGTACTGGCTGATAGTATAACATCCTTTATCAGGACTATGGAAACTATCTGGAAGTGTTCATGGACAATCTCACCATCTTGTCGTCCCCACCCTCCACCCCTGCAAAATATATTATGTCTCCCTATGTTGCTTTTGCGTTGAGGTAGATTTTTTTTTGGTACCTTACACTGTGCCCTGTGTCCAAGGACACAGTGTGAGAGATCTTTTTTTATATACCTTCTCTCATCATGTTTTCTTCTCCTTTTCTTATCTAAGAATAAGAGCAGCGCTTCATAGGAGCTTAAGCCCCGGTACACTAACATCTAACCTTCGGACGGCTGTATGGGACGTAATTTTGTTGTACTTAACTGTGCAATGACAATAAAGTTGATTCTGATTCTTGTTCTGTTTAGCACTCCCTGACATGCGCACAGACAAGAAGACAAAAAATGGCTTCACAAATGAGTAGAGAAAGAATCTGACCAATTTTAAAATGTTTATTAATTTAGAAGTATTTCTCTGATTTGTAATATTCACACAGTTTCACACAGATTATTACAGAAAAGTAGAGATTTATACATTTGAATCCGTCATGTCACGTCGACTCACACTGGGAGATTTTACCCTCATAGCTGGAGACGTGTCTCGTCTTTTTTCACTTTTTTTTTTCTGTGAATGTCGAAGTAGTGTCGAGGATGTGTGATAATCCACAGCCTCGTTGATTCACACGTTACAAACATCCAACCAGCCCGAGTTAAATCAAACAATCACAACATCAGGGAAACCTTTGCGTCCATACAAGTTCCCCTTCAGCACTAACAGTTGAATATTTGTCCCCATGCATAAATGTTTGTTATATATTTATGGTAAAAAATATAGCTTTCAGAATAAATACTTCATATAATTTTTAGACTGTCAGACAATACCTAGTATATGCTTTTCACAATACTGTATATGCATTTGGCTGGATTTACAGGAACAATAAACATATTTATTTAATATGAAACAGATTAAAGTTCTTTGGTGATCAGCCAGATGTAAAGTCCTATCACATCTGGGTCACACTGGATTAAAAAGAAAGACCTTATGTGTAGGCACGGAAGACCAGACACTTCTCTCAGCACAGGTCTGACCATCCCTAGATAGGTGGGAACAGACTCATTTTTGTTCCTTCAGTTACAATCAGGTGTGCAGCACAGAGTTAACGTCAGAATAATTGGTGCTTTGTGCTATTTTAGCTATAGAAAATAAACTTGTTGCATGGATTCAGTCAGTGTGTAGTTTATAATGTAGTTGATCCTTGTGAATATTTTCATGATGAGTTTATCTAGAGTTACATTTCTGTAGCTGATACAGTCAGTTTGCATTAATATGAGGGCACAACAAACTGTTTTCATCATGATGGAACATCATTAGGGCTCGAATCGATCTGTAAACCGCAACAGCGCTGAGATATCTGTCGCTTTTAAATGTCTTAGAAACTTTCCAAAGTTTGAATGATTGTCCGCAGTTTTTCATTGGCACTAAAAACGTATTTTATGATGCAGATTCAACTGATAACCACTCATAGATTCATCTGATGGTGTGTTTTATGTATCTGCATCTGTATATTGCATTTATCAGTTCTGATGATGTTGTTCATCCAATTTGCACTTTACTGACCCTCACAAACAATTAATTTTTTTACAGTTTCAATTATAATGCTAATTCCGAAAAGGTTGGAATGTTGTGTAAAATGTAAATATGCAACGGATAATGCAATTATTTGATCATTTTATAAACCCGTGGCTTGTCTTTTCCACACTGGAACACAGTAAACATATCAACATAATTTTTAGATAGTTGTTTTGCAGACTGGTAAACCTCTGCCCATCTTTACTTTGGAAAAAAAATAATAATTATCTCTAAAAAAAAATCATACCCAGTCTTTTTACAGACATGATTATTATTACCATATTTTCTGCTGTATAAGTCACATCAGACCAAATATGTCTAATAAAGTGGGAAAAAAAAACAAATAAGTTGCTTTGACGTATAAGTTGCATCTATTATGTGTCACCGCTGACCACCCGGAAACGTGGGATGGTGTGCCAAAAATCGATTATCTGCCAAAATGGCTGCCACGGGAGCATGCACGGAAGGACTTTAGCAAGAATTTAACAAGATTAACACTTTAAAACAATTGTTTTTTTGCGCAGGTGTGTCTCAGTTTAACTTTTCCTTAAAAAATGCACTTTGACGGTAAAATCAGTTGCATTACAAAAATCGATTTGCGGGTGTGGGAGCGCGCAGAGGGAGGACTCATTGTGCCTTTCTTCAAAACTTAACAAGATAACCACCTAAAACAGTTATTGTTTGCTCGATATTATAGTAAAGGTGTGTCTCAGTTGAACTTTTCCTTAATAAATGCACTTTAATGGTCAAATCAGCTGCATTATGCCTGGGCGGCACTGGTCGAAGATGGCTTAGTATGGCAAGCCAAGTGTCTCATTAATAGTCACTTTTACCTATTAATGAGACACTTGGCATGCTATATTAGTCGAGGGTCCTCTAGCAGTTGAAGATGGTAGTGTTCAATATTTTCCATGTCAGAATGAATGAAATCGTCAGATTTCATCCCAAAATTGGGTTATAAATATGGGGAAAATATGTATATTAGTCGCAGGACTTGCAAATTTATGCAAAATAGTGCAACTTATACGGTGAAAAATATGGTAATAATCTGATCTATTGCAGTCAGTACCATTTACTTTTACAGCCTTTCTGTTCTTGTCCCTTTTTTTGGTTCTGCCATCAAATTTAAAACGACCTACAAAGGGTACGATTTATTAGTTTAAACATTTGCTATGTTCACTGTTAATAAAATATGGATTTATGACATTTTCTAATTATTGCATTCTGTTTTATTTGCATTTACACAAGATCCCAGCTTTTTTGCCAAAATTGGTAACATCCCATCAAACAATGAATAAAGGAACTGTCGTGTGAACCTTCAATTTAGTGTGGTCTTTTTTTTTTTTTTTGTAGCATTTTATCACCTTATTTCATGTAAACATACTCAAAGTTTGGCATGTGTTGTGATCCTTGAGGAAGGAGTGTTTAATTGTAAACATTTCATTAGACCACACTCCTGTTCCACTGCCCGTGAGGAAAACGGGTCCAAATTAGTGGTAAACAGAAAAAGACCTGACTTCCTGGGAAGGAAGCATCAGCTGTAGAATAATAAACAGTTGTCTGATTAAGGCTAGACCAACATCACACCACCTACCTGATTTCTCATTGACAATGAAGTGTTTCATTGATATTGCTTCTTATTGCAAACGAAACAACCCCCCCACCCCCCACCCCCACGACTTTATCTTTTTAGCTGTCAGGTCAGATTTCTGAACTCCTCGAGGTGAGAACAAGATGATCATTCTAAAGACTCCATGATCACACAAGCGAATAAATGTCTCTAGTTATATAAAATAAAAATTTCCAGATAGATTCTTTCACTCACAGCTTGAGTTAGTCCTATAATCCATGCACGTTTAGTTAAAACTTGCTACATTTTCTTTTATCTTGGAATGTGTCGCAGCCAGCCTGACATTCATTGTGCATTTTGTTTCTGTTGCATACATCATTTGATTCGAAACAAGCAGGCAAACAAGGCATAACTTCGTATTTTTGACCTCAGATGAAAAAAATGGGAACATACAGTATTACAACATACTGCTATGGAGCATTATACACAAAACAACCAGTAAGGGGAGTAACTGTATTGGCATGCAGCATTTTCTGTTCAATATTACCTTTTCTTTTTTGTTTTCTTCCCAGTCTAGACATATAGTTGTTATAAAAAATGCTTAGTTTTGTGTTGAACAAAAAATACTTTTATCTCTGACTAAACCATTTGTTTTCCAACAACTCACAAAATGATACGCATGAATCACGCTTAAAATATGACCACTGCGGAGAAACGGTTCATTAAACGTCACTTCTGTTATAACTTCTGGTTATATAGTTGCCTCTAAACACCATATTATAGACGAATATTTAATTGACACAAACACAATTTTAAAAAAAAAAGTGCAGTAGAAAATACAGTCTCTGTTTGTATGATCATACTCTGATACAATAACATTCTATATATAATACTGAATGTTTAAAATAATGGCTTATGTCCATATATGAAATTAACAATGTCAATGTTTTAAAGAAAATAGAAATAATATACTATTATATATATATATATATATATATGTGCTTAGTATTTAGCTTTAGGAGTTAGTTAAAAGAAGCAGCAGTTCAGAGATATTCACTCCTTGTCCTGCTTTATTTTCTCACCCTGTGTCCTGCTTAATTTATCATCAGTTGCATTTGTTGTTATAACGATGTCTTATCCTCATTTTGTCCAAGACCCACTGACTGTTAGATCAGCTGTTGCAGCATATGCACAAACATCCATGGGGCATGCTGGCAGAGGCATAAACGCTTGAACGCTCCACTCCCAGAGGTTAAAAAAAAAAAAGAAACTCCACATGTCGGGCACATTTATCTCATGTAGCGTCATATATTTCGTTTCCACTCAGTTGGAAGAGTGTTGAGAAAATGGAGCTGATTGCTGAGAGGACTGTGGCTTAATGTGGGTCTGCAGCAGATGTGGGCTCGGAGGCGTGGGCCTTCAGAAGGTCAACAACGTCGTGATGAACAGCTGCCTCTGCCACAGACTGGGCTGTGTGACCGTTCTGGGAAAGAAAGCAGAATATAAATGTAGGTTTTAAATCTGACACATTGCAGTGACTGTTGTAGCCCTCACAGTGGCAGTGCTGTATTGTGCTTAGCAACTATTGAACGTCACAATGCATGCTGAACTTTTCCTAATAACACCAGAGGAGCTGGATTAAAAGACCAAGTACTGAATTTCTTGATGCCAATTAAGTTTTACTAAAATTGTACAAACCCTAATCTTATCTACTAGCCCTTATCAAAGAAATTGACAACTGTTTATCAAATAATTATGGTAAAAATAGACTAAATATGTACTAAAAGTAATAAATTATCATTTACATTCAAATTTACTTAGAAAATGCCACATTAACAAAGCAGAATTGAGATAATGTTTGAATGTATGAAGAAATAATGCTTCAGTAAACAAAACGCCTTTTATTGTATAATTGTATTTTCTTACTATTTCATCTAAATGCAGTTAGGATGAGTAATGGCAACATTGCTAACATTAAAATACATTTTGATCCAAAATTTAAACTGTTTACTAATTAGATCTTGTTGCTTACATCCCACACAGACTAGAGTCCCTTAGTATATGGGTCACAGTTTGGTGTAACAGGAAAAAAAGAAAAACAAATGTCAAATCCAAGTGTTTTTTTTTGTTTTGTTTTTCTAAGCATACAATTCATTGAACCTTTATTTAGACAGGTTAATCCCATTGAGCCTCGAGGACTCATTTACAAGAGAGACCTGATTTCAACAAACAATGATGACAACAATGGACAACAATAGACATTTATAAAAAGGCATACAGATTTTTTTTTCTTTATACAAATAAGATGGCAAAAAGGAGTAACAAAAACAGCTAGATTATAAGGCGAGTGTAGAAAACTAAAAACAGGAACACGTCTGCATTGATCCTTGCCAGGAGTCCAACAGATTCTTAAAGCCACTTAGAGAGGTCAAGATTGAGAGCTTCAGGTCTTTTTGAAAGATATTCCAGGAAACAGGAGCGGAGTAGGAGAAGGCCCGTTTGCCAAGTTCAGTCCTCACTGAGGGAACACTGCAGGTAATAATGTCCTGAGAGCGCACGCTGTAGCTGCACTCACAGAGTGACATGTAGGAGATGTATGAAGGCAACAGCCCAAGAAGTGATTTAAAGATGAAAATGTACCAGTGAGAGAGACTGCGTGAAGTTAATGATGACCAGTTAACCAGTGAATACAGGGTGCAGTGGTGGGTACGATAATTCTCCTAGAAACAGAAAAACAAAGTATACTTGCGAGTGGGGAGGCTGTAAGGTAGAGCGAGTCATGTTGGATTTGTCACTTTCACTAAAAATTAAATAAATTACATAATGTATGAAGTCTGAACTGAAGACTTCTTCCTTTTAGGGTCATGGGGGTCACTGGTGCCCATATCCAGCAGTCACTGTGCGAGAGGCGGGGGACATCCACAACAGGTCTTCAGTCCATAACATGGCTGACATCCGGGACTGGATGGCTTTAAACTTCTTAAGCTTCAATGAGAAGAAGTCTGAGGTCATGCTGTTCCATCCCAGTGGCTCACTCATGAACCATGACATTGACCTTTTCTCTCTAGCCCCGCTAGAGAAACAAAAGGTCACTAATCTGGGGGTGATAATGGACCCGTCCTTAAAACTCAACAGTCACGTAAACATGATGGTCAAATCCTGTTTTTTTCAGCTGAGACGGCTGTCTAAGCTGAAGCCTATACTCTCCAAGAAGAACCTTGAGACAGTGATCCACACCTTCATAACATCTAGGCTTGATTACTGCAATTCACTTCTGTTTGGAATCAGTCAATCCTCCATTGCTCGTCTACAACTGGTCCAAAATGCTGCAGCCCGATTTTTAACTGGTACAGGCTATAGAGAGCACATCAAACCAGTTTTGGCCTCCCTGCACTGGCTACCCATTCACCTTCGGATCCAATTCAAAATTCTCATGTATGTTTTTAAATCACTGAACAGTTCCGCCCCATCCTATCTCATTGATCTTCTGCAGCCATATGTCCCACCGCGCTCTCTGAGGTCAGCAGACCAGATGCTTCTCTCAGTCCCAGAAACCCGTCGTAAGCTCAGAGGTGACAGGGCTTTCTCTGTTGCAGGTCCACGACTGTGGAATGAGTTGCCACTGAGTGTTCGGCAGGCTCCCACACTCTCAGTCTTTAAGTCTCGCTTGAAGACCCACTTCTATTCTCTTGCCTTTAACACGTTGTGAGTTGTTTTGGTCCGGTCTGTTCTCCACTCTGTTGGCCATTTTAGTTAGCTTCTGCTGCTATTTGTATCTGTATTTCTATTTTATGTTTTCCTGTCCGCTGTGCATGTTTGTTTTCTTTTGTACAGCACTTTGGTTGGCCTTGTTGCTGTTTTAAGTGCTCTATAAATAAATTGGTATGGTATGGTATGGTATGGTATGGTATGGTATGGTATGGTATGGTATAACATGGCTGACAAACAACCAGTCACTCTCTCACTCACACCTAGGGACAATTTAGAGTTACCAATCAGTCTAACATGCATGTTTTGGTCTGTGGGAGGAAACCGAAATACCCGGAGAAAATCCACGCATGCACGGAGAGAACATACAACTCCACCTAGAATGGTCCCATAGTATTTTACATCATTTTACATTGTAGCTGTTTATGTTAGTTTTTTTAATATAAATTTCTTGCATCTATTTTTTCAATTTATTTGCTTTCTTTTATGATTGTATACTGTTGTCTTTGTTGTCCACTGTTGTCATCATTCTTTGTTCAAATCAGGTCTCTCTTGTAAATGAGTCCTTGAGTCTCAATGAGACTAACCTGTATAAATAAAGGTTGAATGAACATCTCATACCAGAATTATTTTCATAACTGGCTGTAACTATCATACCCATCACTGCACCCTGTATTCACTGGTTAACTGGTCATCATTAACTTCATGCAGACTCTCTCACTGGTACATTTTCATCTTTAAATCACTTCTCCATATGTTGCATACATCTCCTCCTACATGTCTCTGTGTGAGTGCAGCTACAGCGTGCGCTCTCAGGACATTATTACCTGCAGTGTCCCCTCAGTGAGGACTGAACTAGGTAAAAGGGCCTTCTACTACTCCGCTCCTGTTTCTTGGAATATCTTGCAAAAAGATCTGAAGCTCTCGACCTTGACCTCTCTAATTAGTGGCTTCAAACATCTGCTAAGTTCCTGGCAAAAAACAATGCAGATATGCTCCGTTTTTAGTTATATATCGCTTTATAATGTAGCAGCTGCATTTGTTTCATTTTTATTTAATTTGTTTTATGTATTCTTTTCATTTCATATGCTTTTTATGATTTTCTATTGTTGTCTACACCTCATCTGTGTTCTTTGTTCAAATCAGATCTCTCTTGTAAATGAGTCCTCGGGGCTCAATGAGACTAACCTGTATAAATAAAGGCTGAATTAATAAAAAAAAGGTTGCTCTCTTTTGCTACATATGACTTCCATTCCTCTGCTTTCTAGTGCATACCTCCACCTTCTTTCAAGTTCTCTTCCATAAATCTTTGCCATACACAGTAAAAAAAAAGAATCAAACTACATAAAAATACTAATTTGTTGCTCCAGATACACCTTTAAAGGTAAATGAATGGTACATAAATGGGCATTTTCTTGCCATTAGAAGACTAAGCACTGAAATTCTCAATGCCACATTGAGAATAGCACATTGAACAATAATAGTTTTTGGGTTTTTTTACATTTTCTTTTCCCTAAATGTACATTTCTTTGCATCATAAGGTAAACAAACAAACAAAAACAACTTCAACATAAGCTAGTGTACCGTTTTAGGTTCATTCTTGTACCTTTATGTTTTTACTGTGTGCGTGCACCTTTCATCTCCCCCCGCTGTAGCCGTCCATGATTCTTAGTACCCTAAATTACCCACACAGCTTGTGTGAAACAAATAGGCAGAACTTTAAGCTTCTGTGTGGTAATCTGTACTAACCACTCATGCTGTGTTTGATGTGGACTGTAGAGAATCTAACATTGCTTATTTTCTTATAGCATTTTGCAGCATAAAGGTAAATAAAATGTACACATGCTTCTAGATGGGGACAGTGATTATCAGTGACTGTATCTGTGTACCAAGCCGTGGTGCAAATACATGTACCATTAAGCACATTAAATCTGAGTGCAAGCAGTAATATAAAGCTTTAATGATTTATTTTTACCTTAATAATAAATCTACCTAAATAAAAGATTTTAGAGAACATTATAGTTTTGTAAAGCGCTTTGAGTATCTTGATAAGAGAGAGAGTCGCTATATAAGTTGAGTGCATTATGTAAGTCAGAAGGAAATTAACATTCCATTAGATGTTTGTTGCATTCATCTAAAAAAGAGGAGATTAGCAGCTATCAAGCATTCAGGTCATGCTCTACTAGCTGTTTAATACAAATGAGAAATCCTTCTATGTGCAGGTGACCTTGTGGTTAACAGTCGTCCTAACGTGCAGCTGAGAGAACAAACCTCTCCAAACACGAGCACTTACAAACCAATCTTTTTCCAAAGTGAGAGGGCCTGTGTGCTTGACACTGACACATCAATCAAACCTAATAGACCTGAAAATTTCTCCAGCTGATCTCGCTGACAATGTTCTTCAGTAATATTTGTGACTTCCTGCATCTAGCTCACAGCATATCATGGCATGTCATTTGTCTAATCAAATACTAGATATTAGATATAACAAATGGGAGCAGATGAAGCCTCATGCTGAGAGACAGACTCCTCATCTCCAGGGTGACTGGTTGTCTATTTCAGTGCAGTTGTTTAGTGCTTGTTTTTTACTCAATTTAACCAACTTCCTACGTGACTGCTGGACACAGACCTGCTCATTTCATTACATATGGGACTATTTTAGTCTCAGCTAAAACTAAATATACCATAATGACAAGCAACTTGGTTGACCAACACACACATTTATATATTTTTCTGCATGCATTCTTAATTATACTGCAAATACAGTTTAATCAATGTTATCTTCATTGTGTCAGTTTACAACAATCCAGTCATTTTAAACAGATGCCCCAATTTTTTTTTACTACTTTTGAAGCGGAGGAGCAGAAGAATCTATAGTTTAAACATTTTTTTTTCTATAGTTTGGATTTAACTTTAATTCATAAATAAAATCTTAACAAAAATTTCTTAATTAAAAAATAAAGTGTGGAAATTTGCTATCACAATTAATAACAGTTGTTGGCATTCTACATAGATCGGAAATGTGATCGTTTTTGAATATAAAAACAAATCACCAGAAACATGGCTACCAAAAGCTGAACACCCCCCCCACCCCCCCGCATTGTTTAATGGAAAAAAATGCTGTCTTTTCAGCAAATGTTGAAGACATGTTGTTTAATGGTGTAAAGTACCTTATCTGTGAGGGTGGTATCACAGTGACCCGTCTCCAGCAGCAGACGAGCAATGTGTGTGTGTCCGTGCTCGCAGGCACACATCAGGGATGTAGATCCCTCGCGGTCCTGGGCATTTACATCCGCTCCACAGCTCAGGAGCAGCTTCACCATGGCAACACGGCCGTGGCTCACTGCAAGCATGAGGGCTGTCTGTCCTGCCTGGAGAAACAGGCAGAAACGGATTATAATGAGAACTTATCAGGGTAGATTTGGAGGTAAGACTCAGAGATGCATAGAGTGAGACATTATCAGAGATGATGGGGGAGTTGGAACGAGCAGAGGGACAGGAGAGTGAAATCTATGAAAATAAATCTGATGTAGAGGAATAAAAGTTATATTATATCATCTAAAACAGTGGTTCCCAACCTTGGTCCCTGAGGAACACCATCCTGCATGATTTAGTTGTTTCCCTGCTCCGTCACATTCAGTGATTTTATTCTTCAAATTTGCAGAAGTTTTTTAGTCACCCATTTATTCAAATCAGGTGTGCCAAAGTAGGGAAACATCTAAAACATGCAGGGTGGTGTTCCGCAAGGACCAGAGTTGGGAACCACTGATCTAAAACATCATCAATTTTGTCAGAAGACCCGGTCAAACAAATCAAACAAGAATTCCATACTAAGTGTCTTAAAATGGCAGACAATTGATTCAGACCCAAATTAAATGTTGTCTTTGGGGCAGTTATTCTACAATTTATGGTAATTAATTTTAGGCAACACCACTTTTCACATATTTATTTGTGTTAACTCATTTTGGTAATTAATTTTACAGTAATTATTTTAAGGCTGTGCAGCTTTTCTTGTATTTCTGAGAATTCATTTAAGGCCCTACAAATTTTCTAGCATTTATGCTAATTCACTTTTGGTCGCGCAGCTTTTCTTGCATTTACCGTAATTTAGCCGGTGGTTTCTCTCTGCCGAGAAGCAGCTGCCAGCTCATGGAGCTGTGCAGACCTTAAAGACAGTATGCTGGGTGAAGAAAACTAATATTATTGTTACTAAAAGATCATTTAAATATATCTGTTTTTCATCTTTGCTACAGAAACAAAACACAAATAGGTGAACCTCTAAGTATTTTAATTGAAATCCACTCCTCTGTATAAAATGATTGAATTTCCAAAATCATTTTATTGAGTAAACCCTTGCTTTTGAGTATTTTTAAGCTGCAAAAACTGCAGCTAAATATCTCAAGTAGATGGTCAACACTTCTGTAAAATTGGCTGTGGTGACAGCTAGGTGTCTCTCCCTGGGTTTGGTCCAGTGTTCTTAAGCTTATAATGACCTCCTTTTTCCTGTTGTGAAAAACAGTTAAATGTAACATGCATCCCTGCAAAGTGACCTACTTACATCATAAATACTTTCAAATTCCCCTGGGGTATTTACTCCATGCTTTTGTGTTCACATAAATTTACAGTTAGTGCAATAAAAACACCACATACACAACAGTTTCATATTATATATATATAAATATATAATTTAAGGCATTTGTTGCGTCTTTTATTACCTGTCTTGAGCGTGCATTGACATCCCCAAGTCTTAGCAGCTGCTGAGCTACCTCCAGATCGTCAGGGCTCTCAGCAGCTGTCAGAGCAGCCAGCATCACTGGAGTGTAGCCTGCTTTATTCACATTGTCTGTTTCACATAAACCTAGAAGAATGTGCACAGAAATAGTTATTGACCTGTGTGTCTTTATTTGGGTCAATCTGTTCTGAAGTCACTAGCTGACTGTGTGGTGCGTCTCACCGGTGTCTAGCAGCAGTTTGACCACAGGAAAGTTAGAATGGGACACACTGTAGTGGAGAGCCATATTCCCGTTGCCGTCTGTCAGGTTAACAACGTATGGCAGGAGAGTGGGGGTGGTCAATCCCACCTGTCGCAGGTATAATCTGACTGTGTCTGCGTCTGACTCTTTCTGACTGGAGACTTTGAACCACTCCTGGTAGAGCACCACCAACACCTGACGCTGAATAGAGATGGAGGAGAGAATATGTCACATTGAAAAAGCAACTGTGAACTTTTCTTTTTTTTTATGTTTTGGCCAGAAAAAAATAAAAGCATTAAATATAAAACACAAATCAGCCTTTTTAAAAGCATTATGAAGAAAATAATAGAAAATGCACATCAAATAAACATGTATTTGAATAAGTACAGCTAAAATGAAATCCGTACCATTTCTTTATCTGGGGATGAAACATCTTCCATGCGATCTTTGACATAAATGCATGCATCTATGAATCCTTGATCAACTTTCTCCCTGAGAAGAAAAACAAAATAAACAAAAAAATGACTTACTGTAGAGTAGTTTCAACTCATTAAACCTTATAAAGTTTTATATTAATTTCAATCTTACATGTGCAACTGTTTTGTCTATAATCAGAGCCTATAAAACATGAAATATATCTTTGGGTTTGTGTAAATTGGGTCAGAGACAAAAACTGGAAAATATAATATGTGCTCTACAAGCCTCCATAGCTCACAGATGAGTTTGCTATCTGACAGAGTGAAAGTACCTGCAGACCTCCGTAACAGTTTGCACCTTTTTTCCCTGCATGTTACCAACCTGAGTTTTTAAACTCATCATCCATTATGCATTTATATTTGAGTTTACATACAGCATGAATATAGTGAATATCTCAGTCAGTACAGTAGTTGACCATTCATTCAACCTTTATTTAAACAGGTTAGTCTCAATGAGTCACAAGAACTCATTTTCAAGAGAGACCATGAAGTACTCATAATGTAAAAACACATTGAAATGGTCAAACTGGCTCTGAATAAGTTCATGCAAATGCTGACTTTTCTTCCCAGAACCACCTGATCCCCTGGCCCCCGCCTCATCCGCATGCCAAAGACAAACAGGCACTCAGTCGAGAGACATCAGGAATAACGCTGCCTGTTTTAATTTCAAATTGCTCCATTCATTTATCCATTTCTTTTCTTTACCCACTATGTGAATGATCATGATTTTATTACAATACTTTTATGTAAATAAACCTTGTGGCTGACAATTACCTGTATGTTATTTTGGTATGCAGCATCTGTCTATTGGCAGCACTGCAGCCTCTACTAACAAAATAGTTACCCTAATCTCACAGCAAAACTGATCGGAAACTTATAAAAACAAGATAGTAAACATGAGATGGTTAATATTAGGCAGGTGGTTTCACAGTTGTGTCAGATTACTGTGTGTCTGTGAGCCTGATTAGGAGGATTTGTGTTGATCTGATGACAAAATATTTCCATTAAAAGCTTGAACTCTGTTAAACCTAAAGTCAGGTGCATTTTCAAGAGGTAGATATGAAGGCTCTTGTCCTCCTCACCCCTCATCTTGCTCCTCCAGAAGCTCATGACCACATTCTAAGTCCAGCAAGTCTCTTTCAACCTTTTTCTCTTGACCCACAGCACCTCCTCCTTCAGACAAGGCTTCTTCTGCTGCTGCTCCCTGGATCTCTGCTGTCTCCTCAGACTCCTTGTCCTTTTCCATCACCATCTCTGGTTCGGCTTTTTCGTCCTCCTTCACTTCCACTTGTGACTTTTCATCTCCACTGGACTCCTCGCTTGACGTCGTCTCATAGCTAAAATTTTAAAAAAGGATACATAAAAAGAAGGTTATTTTTTATTTTTTTAGATTGAGTGTTTAAGAAAAAAAAATTGAGTTTTATTTCAAATGTGAAAAAAAGCTTCAGTAAAGATGGAAACAGACAGAAATCCATGTCAGAAATCTGCTTCTTGCAAAGTTTAGGTACATATTGGGACCCCCACATTATATAAATCAATTTAGTTTAAGCAAAGGTAAAGTAAGTAATGCCGGGTCATTCACATCAAAATAGGGGATAGTTAAATGTTTGGCTTTTGCAGTCTTGGCTCGTAAATCATCCCTTATGAAATTAACCATCTACATTAAACAACATAGGAATGTATACTCATACAAAACAGGACAGACACTGCTTTGTTCAGTGAATAAGGGCTCATCAGATATTTAAAGCTATGGGGTGGATGGTGGTGTTTGTGTGATCACTGGGGTGTATCATCAAGGCACCTCTGTGGGGCCAGTGATCAGGTAAGACACACTGAATGCTACTGATTCATGCTCATTTAGTCACACACATACACTCCAACAAGAGGCATTTGGGGGCCGCAGCATTCCTTGGATTCCAGAGGAGCTCAAGGGAGAGCAAAGATAGGTTTGAACATCTAAAGAGAAGAAACACAAACAGTGGCCTGATTTCTGATGTGGAAAAAAGGCCTAAAAATAGTCAAAAAATATCGTTGGCGATGTCTGGATAAATACACTGCCTGGCCCCAAAAAAAGTTGCCACCTGGATTTAACTAAGCAAATAGGTACGAGCCTCCTATTGGATAATTACTGCATGGGCGATTATTTTTCAGCTGGCAACAAGTCATTTAACCCCCAACTGGTGCAATGAGTTGCTTCTCATTTCTTAAACAAGCATGTTGAAAGATGCATCGTGTGGTCGTGGAAAAGATGTCAGTCTGTTTGAGAAGGGTCAAATCATTGGCATCAAGCAGAGAAAACATCTAAGGAGATTACAGAAACTACTAAAATTGGGTTAAGAACTGTCCAACGAATTACTAAAAACTGGAAGGATAGAGGGGACCCATCGTCTTCCAGGAAGAAATGTGGCTGGAAAAAAATCCTGAATGATCGTGATCGGCGATCACTTAAATGTTTGGTGAAATCAAATCAAAGAAAAGCAACTGTAGCACACAGGGCTTTGTTTAATAGTGAAAGTAAGAACATTTCCACACGCACAATGTGAAGTCAAGGGAATGGAACTGAACAGCTGTTTAGCCTTAAGAAAACCACTAATCAGTGAGGCTAACCAGAACAAAAGGCTTCAGTTTACTAGGGAGCATAAAGATTGGACTCTGGAGCAATGGAAGAAGGTCATGTGGTCTGATGAGTCCAGATTTACCCTGTTCCAGAGTGATGGGCACATCAGGGTAAGAAGAGAGGCAGGTGAAGTGATGCACCCATCATGCCTAGTGTCTAGTCATCAATGCAAGAACTTGGTGAAAAATTAATGCAACATTGGATGGAAATAGATCTTGTGACATTACAGACGCTTATCAAAACAATGCCATGGCGAATACATGCTGTAATCAAAGCTAAAGGTGGTCCAACGAAACATTAGTGTGCAACCTTTTTTTTGGGGGGGGGGGGGACAGGCAGTGTATTTACAGGAAAAGGGGGATAGACTTGGGCTTCCTGTTCAAAGCTTATTAAACATATTAGTGCCAGTTTAAAAGGACAAAGCCAGAAAATTCAATATACTTGAGAACAACCATTGTGTATGTTTGCAGATCATTTCGCACCAGGAAGGAACTGAGCTCACCACAACATTCTGAAACAACACGGCAAAGGTGAGCGGGTCATAAAACAGTGAAGCTCAGGAATGCAAGAACAGGAATGTGGGAATTAAATAAATTTACTCATGGCAACCATTTCCTTGACATGCACGACAATGCCACTAAGGAATTCCAGGCAGACCTTTCCAAGTAAGAACAGAGGAATCAAGGATTAGATGAGAGCATGAGGAGAGAAAGATAATCTGATTTAAAAATCTAAAAATAAAATTACCCATTCCAACTTTTGTAAAAATAAAAAATAGGAGCCATACCATGCCATACCAGAAAGACACATCGCGTGGTCGTGGAAAAGATGTCAGTCTGTTTGAGAAGGGTCAAATCATTGGCAAAACCATACCATACCATACCAGCTCTATTTATAGAGCACTTTAAACACCTACAGGACCAAAGTGCTGTACACACAACAAAACAATCAATGACTGAAATATTTTATATACTGTAGTTTTATGCATTTTTTTTTTCCTTTATGGTATTTGACCTTTCAAGATATAAATAAACCTTTGAAAGTTGTAAACACTGAATTTTTCCAAAACCAGTTGTGAGCCTTTAGCAAGTTAAACTCTTATGCCCTCACAGTGGGACATGTCCAAAACACTTCTCCTGGAAGATGTCTGGAAGGTGTACATACACTTCAATTTACTTGCATTTTTGAGTCACCTTTCCACTTGAAGAAACCATTTTGCATTCTGAGGCTTCACACTAGTTGCATTTGGGCCAAAAAAATCCGACCCGGCCCCAGCCTGTAGCCATTTTTTCCGAACCCAACTCGACCGATTAACATTACAGGCCTGAACCCCCACAAAAAATAAATAAATAAAAATGTCATTTTTTTTTTAATTACCAGTAAACTTTTACTGCTTTTGTAAGCAAATCAGTTTGACATGACATTTTAAAAATGTACTTCAAAGAAAGGAAACGTATTTTCTTGTTTATTAACAAGTCACCAAATGAATATCAATGTACAAAGTGAATAGCCTAAAAAATCAAGTCTAAAGATAGGCTATTACACATATGAACAAAAATATTTTAGAACAAATTTTTGGGAAAAATATAGAACAAGGTCATTTTAATTGAACGCGCTGCTCGCTTCGGCTTTTGTAGCTTCAGATGCTGCAACTTCCTTCACCACAGATGACAGCAGGCTGCGGAGACGCGCACGGCCGGTGATCAGGTGATCCATCTGAGCTTAACTGGACTTTTTTTTTTTATCTCTTTTAACCATCAGTGAGATCTGACTCCTCCTCAACAAGTAGATTAACACACTTTTATATTGTGCATTCTTATACTGTATAGTTTTCTTTGTGCTGTATGATTTGTAAAACCGCATCAAACGCCTGTGACTGACCCGGCCCGCCCATCAAGCACATAATTTTTGGCCAGACCCAGCCCAAATTTCGGGCTCGTGTTAGAAATCGCAGCTCTACTTCACACTTTGCTGAAAAGTGTCCATTCAGTTCTTAAAGGTCTCACTCAATAAAGTCAGCACTCACATAATCTGCAATAAGCAAAGCTTTCAGTCCAAAGCTAGAAAATCTTGAAAGCATCTTATAATGCCCAAAAAAGTCTATCCACTATGATTTTTAACAGAATATGTGACCAGAAATGAGTCTGACTTTTTAATGGCAATAAGCTTTCAACTCTAGTTGTAAAGGGACTGACTGGTCCATACTGTAGTTAGGGACCCGATACCCAATTAACCCAAAACAAATCCCACAAAACGCCAGAAGAGACATGTTTATAGCCTGCTCTGTGTCTACAGAAAAAAACTGGCTGGACTAATTGGTTTGACAAAATCTAAAAAGTTTGTGTAAAATTCCATGGAAAGGACAACCAAAGTGCTTCTCCTGACTTTATTTCCCACGCTGTTTTCTCTAACAATCGGAGAAAATATGTAAATGGTTACTGATTCAAATATAATTAATACAGATGGTTAAATTAATCCAGTACCAATAAACATAGAAAATTACAAATGGTAAAATATACCCAAAACCACATAGAAGCACATCAAAAATTACAAATTATTATGTTGATTAAAATAAATACTTTTACCCTCCGTTCACTCCAACAAACTTCAGGTTTTTCTTAGTTCCCCTGCTTCCCTGCTTGTCTGCAACACCATTTTTCTTCATAATAGATTTGAGACCTGGTGAAAAAGAGAAAGAAGGATAAAAAATTAGGAAAGAAAAATATATGATAGGTTTCTGAAAGCTCTTTCACAAAACACTTCAAGCCAGGTCTTAAGACGCCTTCTGGCCACCACAGTGTGATTTGTGAACTGGCCAAGGTGGCAAGGGTTGTCAAAGACAACCTACCCTTGATGCATTTTTGTGCCAATAAGTGAGGTAGTAACAGAGTTGAAATGACTGACGTGAAAAGATAAGCTGGCTTCGTAGATCCATAATATGATGAAGTGATGACATATGGACTGTGCAACCACTGGTCAAGTGCCTTGAAAATACCTTGAGGAACTGAGTTACAGTGTGTGTTCTATAAGTGTAAAGAAAAGCTATAGGGAAAATGAGTTAGTTTGTGAGATAGTATTTTAACATTTTATGCATTTTATTTGACTTGGTTTAGACCAAACTAAAACGATGGCATTAGAAACCTATGCTGAAGTCTGCAGAATATGTTGACATGGTAACAATGTTACTGTTACTGTGACAACTGGCTCTATAAATTATTTTGACCATGAGAAGCAAAACACAAAAATGCTGGAGAGAGCAAGTACAATAAAACAAACAAACAAATGAAAAAAAAAAAAAAAAAAAAACACAAGCTCACAAAAGGCAACAACAAATCCACAAATGCAACAAAATTAAATAATGTATTTATCCTATATTTTATGTATTATTATAAAGTCATAAAAGTTTAATAAAGGCAGCACAGGTGAACGTTTGTTGTTGAAAGCATTAATTTGGTAAATGTTCCTTTGCATGTACCGCTTGTTTCTGGGTCTCTGATTGTCATTTAATTTGAGCCTGGAATATACTATAATAAAAACCACCGGATTGAAATTTAAAATTTCAACTGATGTGGAAACACTATGAAAACAAAGGTAGGAGAGGCCTGGCACCAGTCTACACACTAATAAAACCAATGTGAAAGGAACAACGTAACAAGATATTTCATTATGTAAATGTTGACAGTTACTAGAAAATTAAGATTGCTATGATAAGCTGAACAAAGTCTTTTATTAAAATCTCCCTGATATATGCTTTAAGCTTTTCTTGTGGTCAGCATTATACAAACTCCCTGATAATATACAACCTTGACATTGTCAGGCCTGTTTATGTATGTAACTGGCTAATAATTGATTCTGCATAGGCTCTTTTTGCTGACTCCCCTTGGCGTTAAGCCTAGTATGGCTGCCCTAGTTGTGTCTTACAGCAGGCATGGTGCATTGAATCTGTAATGCTCTTTACAAGTACACAGATGTGGATTTGTGCCAAACAACACCGTCTATAACGAGTCAGACAAGAAGAATGATGCTTTTAGATTGAGTACCTCTCAAGAGACGGCAACAGAGAGCAGAGTGTAAAAGGTGTAATTAGAATTTGATTGTCATGTTACATTTTAATAAACAAATGATTATTTTTATTTAATACACAATGATTTTAACATTTCCTTTAGTTTGGAGGAGATCCTTTGAGATATGTTAAAATTTAGCTCGTGCGAAAATCCCCAAAGCTTATTATGAGTTTCAGATAAGTATTAAAAGTGAGGTCGCCGGTGCCACAGGAATGTTTTTTCATGTCATTACACAATAATGGAAACAAAAGCCAGGCTGGGATTTTAGGTGTCCATGATAACACTGGCGAAACACTGCCAGTTTTAAGAGAGCACATGTAGTAAAATTGAGGCATACACACCTCCCATAAATGCATTCCTGTACACAATACTCCCAGAACTGAACTGAATGTGAACTTTTTTTTAACATAAATTGTGGTTTGTAGCTCAGGCTCCTGACTAGAAACACAACAGTTGAGACGTCGAGGGAAGAAAGAAAAGCACCATCTGTTTTATGTATGAGTGAGAGTCTGTGCTTAAGAGTCCTCTTGGCTGTCGATAAGCGTGGGTTTTCTTTAATGTACGAATGTGGGTTTCTGTATGATGTGTATAACAAGAAATAGGTATTTGATGTGCCACGGGGAGTCCTTGAACCATATTATTATTCCAGGACTTAGTAATGTATATTTTTCTTCCTTAGTAACAGCAAGAAGTGATCACTACATTTTAGAAAAATAAAGTGTGCATTGCACAAAGTCATTCAAATGTCAATACATATATTTAAGTTGCACATGATAAGCAGTAAAGCAAATTGTGCCAAGTGATAAGCACATAAAAAGTAGATTGGGAGGAGATTTGACTTGTAGATTGTTAGGAAAACTTTACAGGGAGATGTGCTAGAACAGAAGATTAACTACAATCAATAAAGTAAACAAAAGCACACAAATATTCACTTGGCATGGAAAAACTCTCTCCTTTGGGGACAGTGTGTGAAGGTGACACAAAATGAAACATATTATCAGTGAGCAGATATGAACAGATGCTAGACAAACTGCAGTCAGTGAATTTTGTACTTTGCAACATTTCTTAACTAAAAAAAACTTAATAACCTAAAAAAGACTTGTGTAAATAGCTATACACTTACCACCTTTAATATGAATTTCACAAGAGAAATGAATCAAATGTATGAACTTGTTCAAAAAAGTAACAAAAACTAAACATGACGTCTACACAACCCTGTAGGGCTTGTAATCTGATTAAATCAAGTTCATCAACGCCAGTGGGATGCTTTTAATCAATATTTGATTTGATGACATTTCTTTTGAGTACATGGTTTCTTAATAAATGAACAAAGACTTTGGGGCTTCAAGTTACTCAAAAAACCATCATACCAAAAATACTCCTTCTTTTTGTTAGTTTGGTGATAAGAGTGTCCAGAGAAATGTCTTATCACAAGCAGAACTGGTTTGTTCCACTTTGGAGTAAGCTGTTGGGGGAAGAATCAGTTTTGTTGTGTGTTTCCTTGACTGATGAAGCCTTCCGGACTGAAGGCGAAACATTTCAGCACAAAAAAAAAAAGAAACTGTCCAGATGACCTGACTGAAAAATGTTGGATTGTATACCTGGATTATTGAGCCTGGACTTTGTTCCAGAGAAATGTGTTGTTTTACAGTAATGAGAGTAATATATATGTGTTTGAAACTGGTGTCCCTCAACAATGAGATCATATGTGTGTAAAATTTAATTTTATAATTGAAAGTTAAAATACAAATTGGCACAGCAAAAATGTAAAAAAACTACCATGCTAATCATTCTGACCATGCTAAGCTGCATCATCACCCTAAGGGGAGTAAAATATTACTCCCCATGATGATGACATGTTATTAAGACTCCTACTTGATGGGAGATCATAAAGGATATGTTGTAATTAGGCAACAATAGCTAATACAGCTGCAGAGCTTTGTGATTGGAAAATGTCTGGAAAACGAGACGAGGAGATTTAGCTCATTGTTGTAAGCAGATAAGCAGCTTTTTGACAGTCAGACTCATCACAGGCCTACCTTGTTCTTGCTGTTTGCTCGCGGCAGCTGCTTTTTGTGCTGGAGAGTAGAAGGCAGACAGGACACTGAGGGAGCTGACCAGCTGACTCTGAATAGAACTCATTTTCGAAGCTCCAGGCTTTCCAGCTTGTTTTGTTGTTGCTGTTGCTGCAGGGACCGTTTTGCCTACGGGCTTGGCTGGAGTTCCCTTTCCAGCCTCTGTCTTTTTAGTTGTGGTCTGTTTTTGTGTGTTGGGGCTTTCCTGTTGAGTGGTCGTCTGTTGAGCTCCAGAGCTGCTCCCCAGCTGTGCCCACTGTTCCCCGAGAAGCCCTGTTAATCGAGTAACAACTTGTCCCAAAGCGGCAGGGGACGTTGGCGATTCACTGGAACCTCTGCGAGCAGACTGAGACTCGCCAGATTCCCGACGTGAAGCTTTTGCTTCACTTGAACCTCGACGCTGAGTTGATTCACTAGAGCCTCTTCGAAGGGACTGTGTCTCACTGGCATCTTTCTGAGACGATGGAGCCTCATTGGAGCTTCTACGTGAGCTCAGAGGCTGAGCATCACGGGTTGGGCGAGTTTTTGTTTCTCCTGATTCACGACTGTGTAATACACTGGATCCCTTTTGTGTTACTTTTAGCTCTTTTGAGTCCCGGCGAGATGCAGTTTGAGACTTAGAATGGGCTTGAATGGATTTACGCCTTACTTGAACTTCACTGAAGTTTGGGGAAGGGCTTTGAGTATCAGCCTTGGGTTGTGCAGGAGACTGTTTCTCAAGTGACTCTTCAGGCAACTTCTTGACTTGGCTATGGTCTTCAACAAGAGGCACATATGGTGTTTGATGTTTTTCCTGTGATTCAGAACACTGTACTGACGAATGAGCCTCTGGCTGGGTTTCAGTCTGACCTTTTGTCAGGGTCTGCTGTGCTTGCGTTTCACTGGATCCCTTACGAGGGCGCACAGGTGCTGCCTGAGGTTGAGGGTGGGATGGCTGTGCTTGCTCTGCCGAAAGCTTCCGACCTCTTTGTGGTCTAACAGGAGCTTCTGTCTTTACAACTGAACTTTCTTCTGTTACTACAACACTGCCCATGATCACACTTTCTTTGACTGTTACACACACACTTTCTTCTTTTCCTTGTTCCTTTTTTTCTGTTGATTCCCCAGCAACCTTTTGGGGTTCAACCATTTGTGCACTCTTTGAGGGAAGAGTTTCTTTTATTTCTGAGTCATTTTGAGCAGTGATAACTTCAATTTTATTATCCCCTGTTACAGAAACAGGACTTGAACACACAGTAACTTGATTTTCAACAGCTGAATCTAAAATTTCTACATCTTTGCCTTCAACAGCTGTAACTGAATTATCTGTATAAACTTCTAGAAAACTTTCATCATTTTTTTGAATGACTTCTTCTGTACTTGTGTCTTCTGCTATGTCACTGACCACAGGGCCTACATCTTCTCTTTGCCTGCTTTCATTTTCACTCACTTGATCTGCTTCTGCATCTCTGGTTGTATTGTTGGACAGTCGTCTTTCTGTTTCTATTTGCTGGTCAGTCCTCTGTGCTACCTCTGTCTCTGTGACCCTATCCACAGTTCCCACCCTTTCAGTTTCTGTTTCTCTATCTACGCTGCTGGTCCTTGGTCTATGTGGATGGTCTGTTACTGTTTCTCCCTCTGTTTCTGTCACTTGGTTTACCCTTTCAGCTACAGGTGTCTCAGTCATCTGATCCTGAGTGATGATGCTCTCAGTTACCATTCCTCGTTCCATGCTGTTGGCTCTGGGTCGAGGTGGTATCGCCGCTATTACCTCTGCCTCTATCTCTGTTTCTTGGTCCTGTGTGTCAACTTTACTTGTCAATGTTCCCTGATCTATACTTACAGCCCTTGGTTTGGGTACAATCACTTCAACACATATTGTATCTGTATCTGTCCCCTGATCCACAGTAACAGGTGATTCTGTCTCTTTGTTTTGGATAGTGAAATCAATGTTTTCTGTGACAGTGCCCCTATCAACACTTTCTCTTCTTTGCCGCTCTAGTACTTGGGTGGTACAACTTTCCACTCTCGTTCCCTCACTTAGCTGTAATATTCTCTCCTCTTTTGCTTTGTTCTCTTTGATTTGTTCTTTCAAAAGAGTGTTAGTTTTCTCTAGCTCTTGGCTAGCCTGAGTAAGTTTCGCCTCTAGTATTATAAGCTTCTCCTGCAGCTTTTGCATTCCATTTTGGTCCTCAAAGAGTCCTTCTTTTGCTGAATTATTAGCTTGACTACAGCTATTTGCAGTCTCTTTTCTAACCACTGTAAGTGATACTAATTTTTGTTCTTCAACGTTCTTTGATAGTGTTTCTACTGCATGCTCCAGTGTACTTTTTGGGGTCTCTTTTTGTTTGTCTACTTTTTCTGATGGTTTAGTTTGTTGCTGTGACATGGTAGGCTCCTTCTCTTTTGGTAAATCTTTTGTTCTTTCTGTCCCACCTTGACTCTCTTTTGCTGTTACTGGCACACACTCTGGAACTGAGCCTCCAGTAGGTTGTGTTGCCACAGCTAACTTGAGGCCTTCTGAATGTCCATGTTCTTCAGAATGACCCTTTACCTCTGTATCATCAATTGTTGTTACTGCAGACAATGATGTAGAAACTTGCACTTGGGACTGAGTTTGTAGCTGAATTAACAGCTTCTCACGTTCCTCCGTCAAAACACAGATTTTAGCCTTTAATTCTGGTATTGTTTTGACCTGCTCTTCAAGCTCTCTGACTCTCTTCAAAGCCACTGTAATCTGCTGGTGAAGACCTGCCCGATCCTGTGGAAGACACCGTCTTTCGATTACATCTGGTGAAGCACGGAAAATGTTCTCTGTTGAGCCATTTTCTGGTGTGGCCACAGTACAGTCAGGGCTGCTTGAATCTGAACCTTTACGCTGCTGAAGGGTGATGGGCATGCTTGAGGCTCTGAGGAGATTTGGACGACTTTGCATTGCAGCAGTTTTATCTTCAACAACTTGAGGCCCTGTGGTTGCTTCATCTCTGGATTTAGTGGAAATATATCCACTTCCTTGACAGGTTGTCCCTCTGCTGCTATGGGTGGGGATTCCCCCTTCACTAGGCCTGAAGTCAAAGATTTGCTGGACCTCTGTCACTCGTGATTTAGGTTTAGTTCCCAACGTGGATGTCCCAGACCATGTGCTGTCCTTTTCCTTAAGGGGAGCCCTGACGCCATGCCCAGGGAGGCTAAAATTTCTTGGCAGAGTGCTGAATTTAGCTGGGCCCTTCACCCGGCGCTGGATGTGAACTCTTTTGATGGTATTGCCTTTTTCAATATCATCAACATATTTGAGGAAGTCAAGATCCAGGTGGAAGCCATAGGGTGTCTCCACTGAATAGGGCAGTTGCTTCCTCTGGACACCACCATCACTGGCTTTGGACTGGAAGCCATTGGCTGTAATGAATAAACATAAATAAAATGTTGTAAAAAAAATTGTTAAGTGTATGAACATAAAGTTTCACTGATTAATATAATAATTTACACTCAAAATGAGATATAAAACAATTCAGATTTGAGAGTAAAATGTAATTAGCCAAAGATGAACAAATTACAGATTATTATCAGCTTTATTATGTCTTTCCACTCATACAGGCAGGCTATAATAGGGTGTACCCATGGTTTTTTAATATGTAAAGCCATATCACTTACTGGGAAGTAATTATCATGCAGCGAACGTGCCAAAACAAACGAGTCACCATGTAAAATGCGGCTCGTGTTGTGCCAGCTTATGCATACAGTATGAGACAGGGGGTGTTTATCACCTGAAGGTAATAAGCCGTTGGCTGCTGTTAGGCACGTACACAATAATGAAGCTAAATGTTTTACCTTTTGTGCTGGATAATGGCTGCATAATGAACAAAAATAGAATTTGGCATGACTAATTACGGGTGTTGCAATTGAGGGAATAGGATGTGAATTGCAACACATGTTAGAAACAAGGGCATTGTTTGTTTAACCACAAGCTTTGTGCTACTCACCACTTTTCTTGTCCATCATGAGATGCAGAGTTCTCAGTCATCTACCTGCGTTTTGTACAGTTGAAACTGGCAATCTGGATGAAACAGAACAAAAAGTCATGTAGGGAGAAGATTATGATGACATTATATATACAGTATATATATATATATATATATATATATATATATATATATATACTGTATATATATATATATATATATATATATATATATATATATATATATATATATTGTATATACATACAAACACATTTTAAATTAAGAAAAAATAATAAATGTGTTAAATCGTTGGTCCAATTGGTGATTAAATAAGGAAGAATCAATTTAAAAAAATGTAAAGCCTTTTTTTTTGTCAACTAAGAAATTTATAGTGTTTTAATCAAATTGACAGATAAATAGGCAGAGCACTTTTGTACAGTCTCTGCAAATCAAATAAGATTCAGATTTTAACTTGTGAAATACGTAATTATTATAATCATATCTAAAATGCACAGTGCAAGTGTAACCTTTAGCCCATTTAAATTTGATAAAGTTAATAAAGTTAAAGCCCGTTCTGGGCAGGCACATAAAAGGGGCTATTTGGTGTCACTTTTTGTTCCAAATCAAAAAAATAAAAATAAAAGCAGAAAGTGAAAGCTGTAAACTGTAGGGTATCATTCTGAAAAATTAAAAGCAATTCAGAATGTGGAGTCAAAACATGTAAAAGCTTATAAGCTCTAAGTTATAACAATAACAATTCCAAGTAATGTGTCAAACTCTGAATGAGCAGCAAAGTTTAAATCCATTAAAATGAAGGAGTAACTCCTTAAATCCAAATATCAGTTCTAAAAGAATTTGGAAAAGGAGAGAAACAATATTTCTTTTATCCAACATTTTTCAGTCAGGTCATCTGGACAGTTTCTTTTTTTTGTGCTGAAACGTTTCGCCTTCGATCCGGAAGGCTTCATCAGTCGAGGAAACACACAACAAAACTGATTCTTCTCCCAACAGCTCTGGATCGAATGTGAAATGTTTCAGCACAAAAAAAGAAACTGTCCAGATGACCTGACTGAAAAATGTTGGATTGAGCATGGACTTTGTTAATATTTTTTTATGTCTGTGTCATGGGTGGAAAAATAAATCTTTGATGATTTACAGTAGTGCTAAAATGTTTCGAGCTGTGGTTTAAATAAGGCTGAAGTTTAAACTGCATCATGTGTGGTAAAATTACAGTGAAAACCTTTTGAATTTATCAGCGTATAAACTCAGCATTTATTAGGAAACAGAATGTTTCAACAGAAATGCCAAAAACAAGTTTTTTACCCCTGTTTTTACACATTGTAAATGCACAAAATATAGTCTTACAGGGAAACAGAAAATACCGGTACCCCTTTGATGTACCATAATAAAGTAAGAAAAAGATGTACCTCCACTCTACAGGCTGAGTCAAAAATACTTACATTTTCCTCAGCAATTCAGATATTTATTATTATATCAAATCAGGTTTTCAGTTAATACTGCATCAAAGTCTGGAAGAGCATCTTCTCTCACCAACTTCAAGTGCAAAATTACATTCACTGCAGCATACTTTGATACAGATGTGTGTTTGGGCCACACAAACATGAATTATCTACAATAATTTGAAATAGGTACACAATCCTTGCCAAGGAGAAAGCCGTGTTGTGTGGTGCTGAGCGATGACATTCTGCAAGGCAAGCATTATATGACCTGACGATGTAATCAATCAAAATGACAGACAGATCACCCTGGGACCTAACAGGAAATGTGACACGCACTATTTGGCCGTGTTCAGTCTTAACAGATTGAGTCTTATTAATGAAAAAAATAGGTGACCTGAGACAGAACTGTTGTCTCTGTTACAGATATAAACACACAAACACACACACATCAGATGACTGATGAGATCTGACATTGTCTGATTGCTACCATGACAACCATTCTTCAACCTGCTACTTTTGTGTGTTCCAGGAGTGAGAGGAGCACAGGTATTTCCTGACTCCTCATGATGTTTAATGCAACAACAATCATCTTGCTGTCCTTAAGGCCCAATTAGGCGATTTAGGAGAAAAAAATCATATTGTGAGTAACTGCTGAGTGAAGTACAGGGTGACCCAACTGGCAATTAGAAATAGTTGGCAGGCACATACCACCTTTAATTAGACTGTTACTTATAAAAGACACAGAGACAAAGAAGAGAGAAATAAAGAGAGTCAAAAAGGTAAAAGGCAAGGAAAAAGACTAAACTGAAAGCAAAAAAATGGATGTGGTAATGTAGTGGACTAGGCCTACGTCAAAACTAAGTCTAAGGTCAAAACTCTTGACCTTAAGAACCTTGTG